TTTGGAAGTACAGGATAAAACAAGCCCTTTCCTCCTTAAGTTGCTTTATTTATTTATTTATTTATTTTTTATTTTTTGGGTCATTTTGAGACAGGGTCTCCCTGTAGCCCCAGCTGCCCTGCAACTCACTATGTGGACCAGGCTGGCCTTGAACTCACAGAGATCCACCTGCTGGGATTAAAGATGTGCGCCACCACTCCCGGCTTAAGTTGCTTTTTATTCAGTGTTCTATCACAATAACAAGAAGAAAACCAGAACACTAAGAAATTATAATAGTCTTCTGGACAATGCTTAAGAGAAATTATGAAATATATACTATGAAGCTCATAAGGATGGATTCACAAACCAGGTTTACATCAAGTACTAATTTTTCTTAAATGGAAAAAGTCTGGGGCAGTGGGGACTGGTGATTTGTGACAAAGATATAAAAATGACATTTTTACTGTTTACAAAAACATTCTAGCCATGTGGTGGCACGTGTTTGTAATCCCAATACTAGAAAGGCTGAATCAGGAGGATTGCTTGGAGTTCAGGATCAGCTTGATTTCAGCTAGGTCTGCCTAGGAAGACTATTTCAACAGACAAATTAAAATAGTTTTCTTATATTTGATTAAACATATAAACAACACATGCTTTGTCTAAAAACTAGCTATGAAAATGTGGTATAGAAGACTAAAAATTATTCCATCAAGTGGAAAAATTACTATTCAAATTAAGGAATCCTATGACAAGGGCAAGACAGACTACTCTGCACCTGTTGGTGCTGGATGCTCATCAGAGACAAATCAACTACCCTTTAGAGACCATCATTGTTCTAAGACCAACTAAGGGACAAGGTAAGTGCTTCAAACCTGTTGCACATTTAAACTGAGCACACAATTCTGGACAGTTAAAAATTACTATTTTTTAAAAAAAGAAATTAAAAGAATCTATGACTAACACTATAAAACTTTCATGGAAAGGAGCTAGAAATGTATACACTAGTTATTGATGAACAATAGCATAAGATTTCTCATTTCCAAAGGTTAGTCGAGCCCCTAACATTTATTTACACACCTTTTATTTTTTTGGTATTCTCTATATAATTAAATCAGGTTTACTTTACCATTTGTATTTCCTAAAATCAGAAGAGGGAAAAAGACTTTATTTCTAGTTTAAATCTATTATATAAATCCTTTTAAAATTTAAAACTACAGGTTAGGCAAAACTGTCACTAAGTAGGTAATTTAAACTAAATGTTATAATGAATGTTAGTGTAAAAATGCTCTTTCACCAAC